GGTCTCAAGGTGCATCTATTTACCTAGAAATGTCTCAATTTTATCTTTCTTTATGGAAGAGTATTATTCCATTATAAAAAATCCCCACTTCTTCTTTATCCATTCATCATTTGATGGGCATATGGGCTGTTTCCACGATTTAGCTATTATAAACTGTGCTGCTATAAACATGGGTGCACATATATTGCTGAGCTTAATCACCTCTTGAAAAGGTCCTGTCTTCAAATATATTCACATGCTGAATTATTGTTGGTGAAGAATCCCACAGAATTTTGGTGGAGCACAGTTAGCTGTAAACAGCTGTACATAATGCGTTTTTATATCAATCTGACTTTTCTGAGGAAGTTTTGGTAAGTACTAATGAGTCTGTCTACCTATAGGAATGGTTGCCTCTACACCAGCACTGTCCATAGAAATATAATGCAAGTCACTAAAATAATTATGAATTTTCTAGTACCTTAATTAAAAATAAAATAATTTTAATAATGTATTATATTTAGCTCATTATGTGCTAAACATTGCCATTTCAGCATATAATCAATCAGCATACATATTTTAATAAAGTAGTTTACTTTTTTGGTCTCAGAGCATCTTGAGCCCTAGTGTGCATTTGTTTTTGGTTACAGCACACACATCTCAGTTTGGACAAGGCACCTTCTAGGGCTCCATAGGTTCCCTCGTAGGTGGCTGCCATTTTGAAGGCCAAGACTCCCATCTGAGATCTCACATGACTTCTTGTTTCAAACTTAATCTTCACTCATATACTTGCTGAAAGAAACCTCTAATCTCAATTCTTTCACCAGTGGATTCAATGTAAGTCATCACTTCTTTAAACTGTACTCTAGAAAGTATTCATGATAGTCTTTCTCTCTCTCTCTCTCTCTCTCTCTCTCTCTCTGTATCCTCATCTCAAATTAAATTCCTCATCTCAAATTAAATTCTTAAAGGAATATATAAGTGACAGAAATATGTGAAATCTTGCCAAGTGTAAGATAAAAGAAATACTTGGACCTGTGGGGGAATTTGGAGAATGTGGGCCGTGCTTAAATTTAAAATTAACAAAGCAAACACAAAAATTCCATGCCACAATTGCTAAGATTATGGAATGGTGTTCATCAACAGATGAGTTGTTAAAAATGTAGCGTATATATACAGTTAAGTAGTAGTCATAAAGAATAACAAAGTCCTGCCATTTATAGCAAAATGGATGGAACTGGAGGACATTATGTTAAGTGAAAACAAGTACTGTGTATTCTTTCATATGTGGAAACTAAAAAAAAAAAAAATCAAACCTAAGAGTAAAATAGTGATTATGAGACGTTGGGAAAGGTATATGGGCCTGAGAATGGATAAAGGAAGGCTGATTTGATCAGCACATGCGGTATACATGCATGAAAACATCACGGTGAACTTCATTAATATGAAGGACTAACATGTATTAGGTAAAAAAGAAAATAAATCAAAGCTGGTCCAAAGAATACTGGGTCAGTATTAACTCTAATAATAATAAAATAATAATAATAATTACTATTATAATAACTCTAAGATAATACAAATGATATTATGTTCTTTTTGAAACTGTATTGTTTCCCAGCAGTAATATTTTATTTGAATAGAGCAAATGGATGTTTCTAGCTAAACCATTCTTGACTGGGAGTCTCTCTTCCTACTAGGAATTAGATCTGTCACTACATTCTTGTGTGTGTGTGTGTGTGTGTGTGTGTGTGTGTGTGTGTGTGTGCATATTACAATTTATTTTTTTCTCATTGAGTTTATTGGTACATGTTAGGTATACAGTACAGTTACATTCATCACTGGGATCTTGTACCTTTACATGACAGGTCTTGGTTCTCATTTTTACCCTTGTCCCTGCCCTCCCTTCACCCCTTCCTCCCTTCCCTATGTACAAAAACTTTATTTCCATTTTTTCATTTTCTCATATTTTTTCTTTTCCCTTCTTTCCTTTCCCCTACCCTCCCCACTTCCCCTACACCTTTAGCCCTTTTCTTCCTATTTCACATTGTCAATTATACATTAGGATCTTATTTACAATTATAGTTTTTCATAGGAAAATGGATGCATACTGAGGTCATACTCTTAAGTGAAATAAATAAGTCACACATGTATAGATAGCAAATAGTTTCAGGGGAAATACAGGTGTGAAAAACTGTAATGGTCACTACATTCTCATTCATCCAATAACAGTGCCTCCGTGTCCTTGTGCCATGTATGATGCCCACAGTACCTTTTTGGGCATTCTTTATTGTTCAAATCCACGATTAAAGTGCTGCTCTTCTACTGCACATTATAATACACAACCTGGAAATCTCCCTCTGCTGATACTCTTGATGTTTTCCTGCCTTGGTTATGGTGAAGTTCTATCATGAGGAGAAGGAAGAGTGGGATATTTTTTGAATTCCCTGAGTAAAGAGGTTTTATCTACCTGGCTTTATCTTTCCTTTTTTTTTTTTTTTTTTTTTTTTTTTTTTTGGTACTGGGGATCAAACTCGGGTCCTTGTGCTTGCAAAACAGGTGGCAGAATGACTGAGCTAAATCTCCGGCCCTCTACATAGCTTTATGGACAAGTTCTTCCTTGAACACTTAAGGAAATTAGTCTTTAAAGCTTTATCACCCATATAAGCCTGCCCCAGCTATGAACTGTTGCTTAGGTTGTTGTGACTTAGTATCAGTGTGACAATAAACCAATAGGGAAAATCTATGTTTGGTCACAGCAGGAGGTGTGGGGTTGGTTATTGTATTTTCTCATCTGGGAAACAAATCCTTGTAGCCTTGGAGACAAGGTTCTATTTTCATTTCTCTCTTTGTGTGCTTTTCTTCTGCTTCCTCTGCAGTAATGAACATAGTGGTCCTTAAATTAGATTAAGTCTAAAATGCTACATTTTCAGGGAAAGCATCTAGGAAATCAAAAAGTTAAAAAAATCTTCCTTTCCCTTCTCATGTGTTACATAAAAGCTGGTTATGCCAAATTTGCTTTTCTGTGCTCTGTTAAGAGTCTCCTCATTAGCCAAAGCACACTTTCAATGACTAATCAATAGTCCCGAGGGAACATTTACGCATTGCACAGAAAGAGAGTATTCTAGGCTAACAGAGAAGTAATTTTGCCTCTTGAGGCAAACTTATACATGAACATTAAAAACAAAAAAGAAAGCGTGTAAGTGTGTGTGTGTGTGTGTGTGTGTGTGTGTGTATGTGCAGTCTGGAAGAAGAGGATCAGTCAAATAAGAACTCTGACTGCTTAATCTATTTCCTGCTAATCCAACCTTGGACTATATAGTTATTGTAATAGGGGATGAGAATGGGAAAAAAAGGAAAAGAAATAAAACAGAAAAGCTTCATATTATAAATCTGTTCCTTAATGCTTATAGCTCCAGGAGCTTTAAGAATCAACTTTTATTAGTTTCCTATTAGAGGGTCATTTTCCTTATAATTTGATTATGAGAATGGATATATTTGAAATCTACATATCCATATAGATAGAACCACTCTGTTTTTATGACCCTGATGCACTCTTAAAGACTCACAAAGAGACTCCATTTAAATTTCCTCAGTTGATTGTTTTCAAGAAAGAAATATGAACAAAATCCACTAAGCTAAGGGGCAGAGGGTTGAGGCTAGAGAGTAATGAATGGCCCAAGTTGGCTTTTCAAGACTCATTAGAATTAAGTTCTTAATTTTTAAAATTAGAATACATTAGCTAAGAGCTAATTACTCTTGAATTTTCTCTTCTTTGATCTATTTAAGAAAGTATTTATTTTCTTTTTCCCCATTTTACTCTGTCCGCCATAAACACCTCCAGAAATCCTGCTGTCTCTTCTAATCTTAAATGTGCATTGCCCTCCCATGCTGGCGTTAATAATACGTAACAAGCAGTGATCTTTTACTATGTGCTAGCGTTGATGCCCTATGTCATTTAGTCTTCATAACTACCCATGATAGGTACTATTATTATTCTCATCCATAAATAAATACTTTATAGATTAGAAAGTGCAAGGAAATTGCTCAAGGTGATAACCCTAATTTATAAAGTATGAGTTGGGCATCCAGTTTAGGAACTATTCTGCCATCCATCTTAGAAATATATCCATAGCCATGATCTCATTTGATTCCCACACCAGGCCTGTGAGACAGTTACTATTAGCACTTTCTTTCTAAAGGTACACACTTAAGCTCAGGGCAAGACACCACTTGAACAAGTTCAACAGCTAGTTCATTGATAGAGCCGGGGTCTCCACTACTCATGTTAAAAGGGCTCTGGAAAGAACAGGTACAGGGCCTGCATCCAAGCAACTATGGGGACGGGAGCTCCAGGCCTCCTGGGTAGCCTTTCAGATGTAAGACTCAGAAGTGCTTGGCATTTGGAGTAGTGGATGAAGTGGAGCTGGGTGAAGAGAGTGGGTCTGAACAGCCCATTGTCTACCCTGCACCACAGCAATTTCACTCTGACTTGATGGTCATGGGAAGGCACTACCTTTCTTGAGGCATTCAGAATGACCTGGAAAATTGCTCCATTATTAGAATAAGGAGAAATAAATCCTTTATGGTATTTTCTCCCTTTGGCCAAGAAAAATTTGACTAAGCTATTTTTTATTCCATTTTATGTTCCTAGAAAGAATTAATTCAAGACAGAAGTCATTGTCTTAAATGATGACTCTTGTTTCTAAAATTTGGGGTGAGAAAATAAAATACGATCCTGCTGTTTTAATGCTCTGTTTTGGGATTTCACATTCAGTATGTATTTCACAGGTGGGTGGGCAAACACGAGTGCAGGAGTGGGGAGGTAGGGCTGAAGTGTGAGGTGCTTCTCTCCAGTGCAGGGAAGACTTCTCTATTAAGATCTCTAGCAATCATTCTATTAATCAAAAGTCACACAGATAATCAGGTCCAAGTTCCTTATGTAGTAGATAAGCTAACTGATACTTGGAGAGGGGTTGACCTGCCCTGCCTCTTCTTAGGAGATTGTGAAGCATGTAGGTACTCACGGTGGCTGGAGAAGTGTGAGGAAAGAGGAAGCATCAGAATGAGACAGGGCAAAGTGTCCAGTTGGTTTTTCCAGCAGAGTAAGTCTAAGAGGACCTAAACGTGTAGCCAGAGAAAATGATATCAGGACATCAAGACCGAAGGAGTGATTTGTGTGAAATGCCCAAAGTAGGGGTATCCTCATTGACTTCCAGCATAATCCATTTGTATGCAGGACTGAAGGGACAAGACTTGTCCAAGGTCACACAAAATGTTTGAGACATAACAAATATGAGGCCCTAGGTGACTTTGTTTCCCACTACGAGGTACAAATACTGCAAAATGTACTTCATGACTGAACCACACGGGTTCTGGAATCTCAAATCAGAAATCAGTCAGTTCTCTATTCTGCCACTGTGACCTTGAAGAAATGACTTGTCTTAGGTTTTTCAAAGTTATATTGTGATAATAATTCATGGAGTCATGAAAATAAAACAAATTATATATCAGAAGGACTTAGCACAATTTTTAGCACAAAAGGAATTTTCAAAAAGTAATGTTTTATGATTGTTGATTATTAAGATGATGCAAGCAGTGGCCCCCCACCCCCCATGGAGTTCTGCTTTCCTCCAACACCAACTCCTTCCAGACTCTGGGACATGCACTTGCCACAGTGGGCTGGGAGCAGGATGCCTCTAAGACCGTGCAAAGGGGTGGCCTTGCTGTCACCATGTTCTCACCAACTGAACACATGGCTCAGGTAAAAATTCTATTGTCAGCTGAGTCACAGATCAGAGTTAAGAAATGTAGGCCCAAGTAGATACAACTGGTTTGGTAGGAGGAACCAGGATTTTTAGATGAGAAATAGGGATAAGGACAAGCTTATGATGGGACATGTTATGCTTTTCATATTGGGCAAAACTTATTGTTCCTGTCTCTCCTGACATATCAATAAAATACAAAAGGCAAATCATTTATGCAAAAGATAGTTGATAGCCCCTGTTTAGAAATAGATCAGAGAGGGAAAATTTGACATAAAATTCTATTGATTTAACAATTTAATGGATATGTATGCAGAAATCATAAAGAAATTAATAGAATTTTCCAGGGTATAAGTAGAAGAAGGGATTTGCCAATTTATTTCTTTTTCAAATGCTGGGGTTATACTGAATGAATATTGGGATACTTCTTAGAGACTATTATATATATTAAAAAAATCTAAGTTTCAGTGGCTATTTCAAGAAAATAGCCTTTTGGTTTTAAATTTGCAATTAGAGTGTGATGTTTAATATTCTTTCCTAATTTCTTTTTGAGTAGAGTTACAGGCATATAATATGTGCTCAAATAATATCTGTTGCAGGAGTGGAAGCAGGATCAACAAAGGGCCCTTATAATGCCAATAAGGCTAGCTGAAATTTACTGAGTAGATGCTATTTATCAGGTATTGTTTTGAGTTCTTTATGTGTATTAACTTGTTTAGTTCTTTCAATAGCCTTCAAAGATAGACAGTGTCAATATTCCAATTTTACAAATGAAATACAGGGCAACTAAATAAACTGTCAAAAGCTACATAGCTAGAGTATAGAAAAGCCATGATTCAAACTCCAGGAACTTTGCCCTAGAGCTTAATTCTTTACTATTAATTTGTGCTGTGGTACTAAAGCTACAATGATTAAAACCAAGACCCCATTTTAAAGATATTTATAGGAGTAGACAAAGATAAAATATTAGTATAACATGGTGAAAAGTATTACAACTTATTAATTTTGACCTTAGGGCTTGCATTGGAGAACAAATTTCAAAAAAAGTGAGAAAATGACATAGGGCTATGAACTTAAATACTAGGGATTGAGGAGACAGTGTGGGTGCAGGGTGCTGAGTCTATGTGCACCTGTGTGGTTGACAATACAGTAATGGGCAGTAATCCAGTCTGGCTTGTATTCTTACTGGAATGGAAATATGGACACAGACAGATACTCCAAGGTGCAGATGCACAGACGAAAGATTATGAAGATGCAATCCACAGGTGGCTGGTGAAGGCCTAAAGGAGAGGCTTGTAGGAAAGACCAGACCTCCTAATACCTTGACTTGTGCTGTGGGACTGAGATAAATGAATTTCCTTTGTCTAAGACACCCAGGCTATATTATTTGTTGTGTAAGCCTGGAAAACTAATGCCAGCTCAGGGGAGTAGCCACAAATTCAGCTACGTCTTCTTGTTGACCTGCTCAGAAATACAGGTCTGGTATTGCCACATTTAATACTTTTTCAAAAGAAGCCATAAATCAGAATTTTAAATTAAAATATCCTGATTTAAAAAAAAATCTCATAATTTAATAAAATATTAAGCTCTGTAGGTTAAAACAAAATGCATCAGTGTTAGATTTGGCCCACTGGCCTCTGGTTTGTACCTGCTGATCAAGCCTATGTAGGTCCAGTACCTTGTCTGGACCAGCATAAGGTATTCCTAGTTATGATTAGAGAGATTCAGGGATGTAGGAGGCCTGGGAGGAGAACTGGGTCATCCAGCTCTTGAGGGTCACTGGGCAAGAGACACTGGTGGTGCAGGAATACACTTTTTGGAGGTACATTTGAGCTTACATGGGGGAGTGGGGGTGGTTAACTGCTGAATCAAGATAGTAAGGGGGTGTTTTACAAGTAAAGAAAGCAGTTGTACATGAGCCCTGGGAAAAGAGATGTGACCTCTGAGTGAACAAACGGCACCACATATCTCCAGCACAGTGTTAAAGTGGGTGGAGCGATGGAGGAGGCAGGGAGGGACAATGGGGCCACATTGTTATAAAACTTATCCCAAGAGCAATGGGAGGGACTGAAAAGCCTGAGGCAGGCAAGTGGAGAATCTAGGTTTTAGAGATTTCCTTGGTGAAAAGGTTGAACTAGAAGTGGTTAAGGTGAAAGAAGGGATCCCAGTTAGCAGACAGTGCAATAGTGGATGGTTGTGTCACCTTAAATAATGGCAGTAGAAATGGAGCAGACGTAAAAAATAGCAACAAAGGAGAATGTCAAGACTTATGAATGGTTGGGTGTGAGGCAGAGGAGAAGAATGAGTCCAAGATGACTCTCAGTCTTCTTTAAACAACTGACTGGATTTGCAAGTAATTCACTGAGCTACACAGATGGGACGCTTAAAAGCCAATATAGAGATGAGTTTAATTTTATATATGCTTATTTTGAAGTACCTTGATTATCTAAGTGGGATGGAGAAACTTGTATAAAAAAGCAAGAGACTCCATCTGGCCCCCAGCCAGGGCCCTGTGCAGGCACCAGTGGTTTGAGCATACAGATCCAAGCCAGAAGTCACCAGTGGCACAGGTGTGCAGGCACACCAGCTGATGGCCCATTTGTGTGCAGGCACACAGGCCCCAGCCAGAGGACTGCCCAGAAACCATCACTAGCTAAGTGCAGGTCCTAGCCAGAAGCCCACCTGGACAACAGCCCAGCACAGGGATCCAGAAGGCCATCATTCTAAATACAGGTATTGTAACAGGGGTGAGCAGTAGAGAGAATGCCTCTCTGAGGCTTATAGAGAATTGAAGCCTACTGGGAGAGCAAAGTCATCTCAATAATGGTGCAGCAGGCTGCATTGCTTGAAATGAGAAGTCACCTAAACAAGACTCAAAACCAGACTTCCAGATCACTGAAGGCAAGCCAAAGAGGCAACAAGATGGAACAATCTGAAACTCAACTACCTGGACTCCCTTAACTGGCAGTGAAAGAGGATCTGGAAAAAAATAAAATCAGAAATAATTTCTCAGATAACAACAGAGATTATGTCCATAGTGAAAGACATGATTAATAACTCTAGAGCAGACACAGATTTTTTAAAAAATAGAGGAGCTGGGAAACATAATAGAATCTCAGCATAGGAAATAGATTCCATAAAACAGATGCAAACAAATATTGAGAAAATTAAAAACTCCATTAAAAGTTGAAACAATGTGAGGACAAAATATCAGATATACAAGACAAGATTGTCATTAGTGACCAGGAAAAGCAAGATTTCTTAAAAATAGCAATGAACCATGAGAAATTAACCCAGAAGCTGCTAGAAGATGCAAAGAATAACATAAGACTGACCAGAGTCAATGAAGAAACAGGAGAGTGCAAATGACATAAAAAATAACCTGTTCACAGAAGTAATGGCAGAAAACTTCCCAAGCAGGGGAAAATAATGACACAAAGATAAATGAGACATATAGGACTCCAACTATACATGATAAAAATATGTATATATACCTAGGCATATAATATTCAAGATTCCAGAAACCTAAGAGAATAATAAAATAACACAGGAAGTTAGAGAAAATTAAATAAAAAATCACATACAAAGGGAAGCCCATCAGAATCACAGCAGACTTCTTAACACAAGCCCTCAAGTCAAGAAGAGCCTGGAGTGAAGTATTTCAAGCCATAAAAGAAAACAACCTCCATCCCAGATTGATGTACTCTGCAAAACTATCTCCCAAAATTGATGAAGAAATAAGATATATTCATGGCAAAGAACACTTGAGGAACTTCATGAACACCAAACTGGCACTCCAAAAAGTTTTAAACAATATCCTAGGGGAAGACAATGAGGATCACAACCCCATGAAGCCCAGAAAAATAAGTCCATAAAGCCTGGCAAGAAATTAAATTCAAATGGGGAATCCAACAACAAAAAAAGATCATGAGATGGATAAGTCAATACATATCAGTTATAACCATCAATGTTAATGGTGTCAGATCACCAATCAAAAGAAATGGGCCAGGAAGCATGATATATCAATATTCTGCATACAGGAAACACACTTCATTCAAAAAGAGACTTATAGACTGAAAATTAAAGAGTAGAAAACAGTACTGCATGCAACAGGAACCCCCCCCCCCCCGACACACACAAAAAAGCAGGAGTAGCTATCCTCTTTGCAGATCAAATGGATTTCAACCCAACACAGATTAAGAGAAACAAAGAAGGCCACTACATCCTTGTAAAGGGAACAATATAAGAGGAAATGACAGTCATAAATATATATGCACCAAATACTAGTGCACCCAACTATGTAAAACAAATATTAACAAACATAAAAAGTTAAACGAGAGCCAGGAATTTAACTCA